AATAGGTGGAGAGCCCTTTTAAGCTGCCTTTCACTAGTAGGACTTGCAGCAAGATTGCCAGACACTGTCGGTCCATCTAAATAACATAATTAAAAAAAAGGAAAGACATGCTGTGGCGCTACCGTAAACTGAAACACACCTGTCTCCTGCTAAAACTACTTCAGGTCATGACGAGGTCTGTACCACAAAAAGCTGCTGTAAGCTGTGACAGCAGAGGTCGTGTCTGCTGCTGATTATATGAGTTAATTCCATTACGCTTCATGTCGGTGCTACACCTACAGTAGACCCTGCACAATAAGATAACACAGTGCACGTGCAGCATGAATCGTTCTTATTTTGTTGTATGCTTGATTATAGTTTGAAACCATTTTGTCTATCCATTCTATTGTTTAACATTATATTTTCCAAGTGTTGTTTGTCTCCCTGCTTCCTCCTGCAGCATAAATTGCAACACGCGTCGTCTCCTAATCATGTTTGTGTCTGTAAGAGCCTCTCCAATCAGTTTGTCAGACAGACGAGTGTCACACCTGACTCTACCTGACTTGTGTTCAGAGCGGTGAATGTACAGCTGTAGCACAAATCAGCATAATATCATGTTCGACACGTGTGCACCCTTTTAACAGTTCAGTGCTTATCTGTGATCATACTGCGCCGATAAGGATGATAATTCAACGTCTGTGCACACTGTTACAGTTCAGCTTAAAAACCTCATATTTCCCAAAAGTCAGCTTTTCAGGAAGTGAGATCATCTGGCCGAGGGTCCTGCTGACACCCATGTGTTTTGTTTTTGACATTTTACTCTGCATTAGTAATGGTTTGGCTTTGTCCCACGTTTGCAGGGATCAGGGACCATTTTACTGCTCACAGGAAGCAGCCGTTGAGACACAATGCAGCTGTAAGAATTTTGGAAATATTTCTGCAAAAGACATAACATGAGATGAAGTTCTGTACAGTAACAGGGTCAACGTCGCTCAGCGTGGTTGGCTGTCAACGATGTCAGGAAAGCCCCGTACAGTATCTTTCATAACATCAAACACAATATCCCGCTTGTATTACTTCTGCTTAGTGCTTCATGTTTTTTCCCTCAGAAGAAATTAGCAGAAAATCCCCTCAGTAGCAATAAGGATCTATCACACTGCACCACATGTATCCTCTCTTGTCTTCAATCTACTTTATATTCACTGCGTGTACCGCATGACCTCCTTCTTTCATTGACCTTGACTTTAAGTATGAAACACTGTTTCCAGATAACCTCCGTCTCTCTGCCCCCACTGCCCTTTTTGCGTCTCTCCCCCTCAGCCAGTCGGGTTCTCTCTTTTCCCCGGCCTTTTGCTGGATCACTCGCAACCCCCTCTTCCCTCTTTCCCCAGATCATTTACATTCGCTTTGTTCTGTGCAGATTAAGGTCGCACGCTGATGAAGGCCTCGGGAGCCTCCAAGGTCTCGGGGCCCTCACAGTCTCATTTTCAGAAAAATCTATCTGCTACACTTCTCCATTTGGTCTCCATTTCTTTCTGAAACCGTTGCTGAAGTGCGTCTGCCTCACATCCACCACACAGTTTTGGCAAGAGGAAACGACTGCATTTTTTTTAGTTCTGAGTAATGGGCTTCAGTTAAATGCAACATGTTAGAACAATCAAGAGCAATATAAAGTTTTCCCACAGCACTGTGACTTACAGGAGACTGCCTGAAACCAGGTCAGTATTAGGTCACATTAGATGTGGTTTCTGTTGGAGTTCACAGTTTGGGTTTTATCAAAACCCAAATTATTACTTGAGGCTGATTGAGGAACAATGTTTCCAGTGAAAGCAGCATACTTTGGCACCCATTGCAGAGTGCTGAAACCTGTTGAGAAACTGACACAGGATGTGGGAAGTGAAGTTGCCTCTGTGTGTGTGTGTGTGTGTGTGTATATGTGTGTTTGTGTGCTTGCCAGCCTGTGCGAAAGTAAAAAGCAAGACAGTGAGTGTGTGAACTCATCTTCTCAGTACAGTTTACGCTGACTAATAAACATCCATGCAAATGTCTGTGTCTAATGCAATGTAAGCATTTAATCATGTGCACGTAGGACTAATTTGGTTATAACTGTAGGCTACCTGGACTTTTAATTTCTACTGTACAAGCAGAACAACTCCAGAAGCTGATTTTTTATTGTCTTCCAGTGTTTCTCATTCAACAGCATCTAACAGTTTTAGACATTTAAAACATGCCAAAACTGCCTTTAAAGGGGTACTCCAGTAGTTTAGTATTGCACATCCATGAAGTTGGAAGACTTGCATGATGCAACTTTATAAAAGAACATTCAAAAACTATGCAGCAGAGGCTCAGATATCCTAATTTTCAGTCCCTAGTTTACTCTCACAAGTGCTTGATCCTACACTTCCCATAATGCATCTCAGTGCATATCTTCATTAATCCCTCCCTACCTAGTAACCAACCATGTCTTTTAAATTGACTCCCAACGCTCATCACTTATGTTTTCCATTTAAAAGCCCAAAACTGTTGTAAAATGGGAGGAGCTATTCTGAGAAAAAAAGTCCAGCATACAAGACTGTATCGATAGAAACTACAACTCCCAGGGTGATTAAGGAAGAAACATCCCCAGAATCACAGAACAGAGAAAATACAATTTGCAGCTTATGAATGAATGTGACTCTAGGTCAGTTTCAAATGAATGTAGGAGCTATGTGTTTTGTTTGCAACTCAAGAACAAAGGTTATAACATTGTAACCCTAGTTGTGTTAGCACAGGCAAAGCCCTCCAATAGATATCTCCATCAATCATGAGCACGCATTTGCCCACTGAAATTTGCATGAACGTAGCCAGCCAATCAGGACGTGCCTACCGAAATACATGTAAGGCATATAAAACTATCGCTATGAGGTAGAGGGTTCCACCTGTGCTAATAGAACTAGGGTTACAATATCACAACCTTCGTGCTTTCTCACACAGGCTTGCCCTCTACTGGACCCTACAGGTACAGTGAGTGGAGCCTGATGAATGTAGCCCTCCCGCGACATAACATTCACCCAGCTAAACTGATTCTGACTGGCTAAACCTAGGCTGCCACAGCAGAGAAGTAGAAGGCCCCAGCCAACCCTGGTGGTAAGCAACCACACTGGGTTGAGCCATCGTCTAACCTTGCAAGCAATGGAAAGCAATAGAAACCCTGCACATCACCTTACCGAGGTCATCAAGGAGCACGTAAACATGTGGGTATGTTGTGTCCACAGAGGAGTTAGTTGCAGCACAACTGACGGGAACTGCTCATTGGTCCGACAGCCCATTGGTCCAACATCCCATTGTTCCGACCATATTAAACCCATTGTTCTGAAGTCCCATTGTTCCAAAATCATCATGATGCCCTGTGGTTAAGGTCTGGTTAGGTTTAGGCACAAAAACCACTTGGTTAGGGTCAGGAAAAGATCATGGTTTGGGTTAAAATGAAAAAGAAAGTGGAAAACACATAAGCTGTGAGCCTGCTTTGCCTCAAGCCTTTCCCAGCGGACCCAGAGCCGGTCGCAGCGCACCACCAAGGCAGAAATACGCCTGCCGGGAGCCGTTCAGCACCACAGAGAGCTCCCCACACAACCCGGACCCCAGAGTTAATAACACGAGGTTATGGTGTTTCATTCTCTCCTCTCTATGACACTTGTATCTCGACCAGTAGCCTACTTTTGTTGCGTTTGCTGATCCTCTATGGTACACAAATACAGTATATCCTAGTATAATCACATTTCGGAACAACGGGACGTCAGACTAAGCAGAGGTCGGAACAATGACACACATCCAACCCTTTTCACCAGTCGTGTCGTTCAAGCGAGTACAAACCCTGAAAAGGAGAAGAGACAGAACCGTGGACAGGCAGGACATAGACTACGACACTGATGGCTAAATACTACTGCTTTACGCTGTGGGTTCTGCACGTATTTTGATAGGTATGTCTTGATTGGTAAGCTACATTTACGCAAATTTCATTGGGCAAATTCTTCCTTTTGATTTGAGGAGAGCATTATCCCGAGAGTCCAGTAGAGGGTGGAGCCTGTGTAGACAGAACAAAGTGTTTTGAACTCACAGCAGCTCTGAATCACACCATTAACGAGCTTCTGCTCCACAGAAACAGTAGCTGAGACTCATGGGTATCGAAGTATTTATATCGTCTTTCATTTAAATAAAACTTTGAAATAGGAATTCAAAGTGATCAAATGTACTTTTGACGCTAGCGACTTCTCCCACTGCTCTTGATGAGACGACCCTGATGACATCACTAGGGTTAGTTTTTCAAACTTGTGAAAGCTTCTTCAGAATCGCGAAAGACATCAAACAACTGTTTTCTCATGATGAGTAAACTGACTTTGATGTGTACAGTTGGTGGAGTTTCCCTTTAATGTGTTTGAACAACAATGGCAACCCACAAAATGAATGTGAGAATTTGTTAATACATCAAAACATGAGTCGAGACCCAAAGTAGATCCCAGTTTCTCCAGAGAGTATTTACTTTATCCTGCTGTGACTCTAGATTCTCTTCTTGACCTTTTTCCTCCAAGAATCGTGTTGAACTTGGTACAGTATGTGACAAAAAAATGAGTGAAGACAGTTGCTTGTGTATTTGACCATTATCTTTATGGACATTGCCAACCCTCGACCTCAAGGCCTTGAATGTCCTTCATTACTGCTGTTACTCATCACCTCTCATCTTCCCATCCCCCATCCTTCCTCCCTCACATCCCCATCACTTTGCTCTCTTACTGTCCATTCGGCGCTCTGCCCCCCACCCTCGCTGTCCTTCCTATTAAATCTCCCTTCTCTGGTGTCACTGTCCCTTTCTGTCTTGTCGCCCTGGCCTCATTTGTCCTCTGGCTCTCTCTTTTTCTTATTCTGGTCTCAGTAAATCTGCATTTCTTGCCCCCTGTTGTCCTCTTGTCATCCATATCCACTTCTTCTCTAACCGTTATCCTCTCTTCCTCCACTCTCTTTTTATCCCTCTGTCGGCTGCTCAGGCCCGTTCACCTATGGATCAGCATTCATATCGGAAACCTAAGGGATTCCATGACCACATCGACCCAACTGACATCCCCGCAGAGCGCAGCACATCGACACTGATGCCGATGCTCTGCACGCAGCTGTAGAACAGCAAGGCCAAGGGGGTCAGAGGTGGAAGGTCACAGACTACAGAGCCAGAGCAGGAACTAAGGTTAAAAGGTGCCAGGAGGCGTGACTGAGAGGCTACAAGAAGAATCAGAGATCAGGAAGGAAGGTCTCAGTGACAGAGTCAAGGGTCAAAGATGATGACATCACATGGAAAGCTAAGGAAGGAGAAGGGGAGTCTGGCCGAGTACGAATCGCAGATGAAAGGTAAGACGCTCCGGATCTGCATATGTATGTGTGTGTGAGTGTGTGTGCGTCTGTGCCCTTTATTGCACTTCTGTTTGTGCACTTACCTGCATGCATGAATGCATATAAGATAGCACAAGTGCATCCATGCATGAATGTGTGCAGTTGTTCTGCCCAGTCATCTAGACACAGACTCTCACTGAATGCATTTGTGCATATGTTTACATGTGTACTCAAAAATACCTAAAGTGATTAAATCCCTCTTGTTTTTAACTCAGTGACGATCCATGCAGAGTGAGAGTGAGCCAACATGAGAGCACAGAATCCCTTAATGAAAGTAAAAACATGAGCATGACAAATTTTGGCATTACAGGATTTTCACATGACAACAGTAACGTGTGTGTGTGTGTGTGTGTGTGTGTGTGTGTGTGTGTGTGTGTGTGTTTGTGTGTGTGTGTGTGTATGTGTGTCATGTGCTATGTTTTGGAGGGTGCATGCCGTAGCTGGGTGGCTCTCTGTACTGTACTACAAGGGTGTATTTATAGCCAGTATTAGTGATGCTGTCTCCTCACATCCAGTCAGCCCCGGGCTGTGTACTCACACAGAGATGAAGAAATAGAGGAAAGAGGGGAAAGAAAGAGCGGGCCGGACGGAGGGTGGGGGGGGTCTGTCTCAGTGAGGAAAAGAAAAAGAGAGACAAGAACAGGTAAGGGTAGAAGAGAGAGAGAGAGAGAGAGAGAGAGAGAGAGAGAGAGAGAGAGAGAGAAGTGGGAGGGCAAAGCTAAGGCGGGGTTATTTGAGAGAATGATGTTTGTAGTCTTTTCACAGCAAAGTGCTGCACTGGGCCACATCGCTACTGGCTTGCTTGTGTTTACATACAAGCTTGTGTGTATAATAACCTTGTATCATGCACACAAGCTTGTATGCATGTACACTGGGGTTATTACAAGGGAGCTGTGTGTAATAATCTGTGTCAAATTACTCAGTAATTCTCTAGTGATTGCACCTCCTAATGACAGCACGGACAGCTTTTTATATCTTCTCATTCACTAGTGGAGATGTGGAATTAGCAAAGACATTGTTGTATCTTCTCTAATTTCTTTCGGAATCATTTCTTATTAGTTCAGTTATTGTGTGAATGAACTATTCCTCATAGAGCCATGGGTGTCCCCAGGCACCATCAAATTAATCACAGGTGTAAAGCCACTGCTGATTGTGAATGCATATAGTAGTTTTATGTGTATACTTTATACAGACACTGCATAAATCTTCCCTGTGCACTTTATGCCTGTGTGTGCATGCATCTGCTAGCAGGATCTTCGCACCCCGTGGACTTCAACTTTGGTGAACTCACAGCAAAGTCACAGCCCCAAAAAATAGCAAAGAAGTACAGTATGTTTGGAGGAGACATTGTTTGTGTCTGTGTCTAACCAGCTCATATTGTATAATATTGGCAGGAAGTGTAAGATGGAAAATACACCAATATCATCATATTTCATGGTATTTGTTAGACAGCTAACTAACATGAGCTAGCAAGCTGGCTTTCTGTGTTTGTTATCAGCTCAGTAGGCACTCGCATGCAGTCGCTCATGTGTGACCATAAGCTTAACCTGAGGGGTAAGTGAAGGGTGGGAGTTACGCCTCCACAACCACACTGCTCAACCACTATGGGTCAGGAGGCCGTTATCTGTAGTAACTGCTGTAACCAGTGGTGAGGGGAAATCACTCTTTGGTTTAACTGCTAACACCACATATTGTGTATATCAGAAATGTGAGAAGAAGACTCCAGACACAGCTCTTTGGTAAAGCACAAGACAAAAAGGTTGGAAAGGGTTGTATTTTAAAGGATTAACATGTGGAGCTTAATGCTAAGGGTTAATATGTTACTATAGCTGTTAAATAAATGTAGTAGAGTAAAGTATAAGTATTTCAAAATGGCACTTGAGTACAGTAAGTAAATGTACTTTCCAAAACAAAGAGACTTCTTGGCATTACCGAACCATAGAGATAATACGTCCTGATAAAACCACTACAGTGTTATCATAGACGGTATATAAAGATGGACGATGTGTCTCCACTTTCCCCTACTGCACAAAAGTAAAGCCAAAATATCCAAGACATGGTCGCTACCATCTTGTGCTGATGACTTCATTTGGAGTCAGAGTCTGCGCAGTAGCAATCCTCACTGGTATGGAGTTCCTGCCCAGACACCTGTCTGACCTATCGCGGTCAGCATCAGTCATAGCAAGCATACCGATTGGCACACACAGCTATCAATCAAGACCTCAATCCCTCATTTCTTAAACATCAATTTACAAGTTATAACCAAACCTATAAGAAAAATTAACACTTGAAAACACAGCACCATGTTAAGAACTATCTAAAATGACTATACCTTAAATAACTGTCCTCTTTCTCTCCATGTCTGTCCGTCTCTCTCTGTGTCCCTCCACTTCTGTCTGTCTGTGTGTGTTTGTGTCAGACCTGCGGGCCCAGCTGACAGACCAGATAAAGATTTTAGACTCTCAGGTGGAGGTGAAACAACAGCAGCTCTCAGACCTCTCTGAGTTTCTCCGGCGCCGAGGAGACATTGAGGCTGAATATGCGCGCGCCCTTGACAAACTCACCGAGCGATTCACCCACAAGACTAAGAAGTAAGTGTGTGTGCAGTATGTGAGTGCACATGTGTCCTGTCCATTCCTCAGGTGATTCTTCAGTGTTTTGTTTATCCGTAATTCAGTAAGGATGTCTGTTTTACCTCCAGGAAGGAGCAGTGGGGTCAGTCTGTGTGTCAGGTCTGGTCTGTTTTGCTGACTCAGACTCGTCTGGAGAGCCGGGAACATGCAGCACTGGGTGACACCTGCTGCAACACACTCACACAGCGGTTGGCGCACAGCACGGAGGATACACACCGTCTGCACAAACGAGTGAGTGCATCTTTGGTGTTAGGTCACATTCACGCAGAAACAAACACAGTAGACATGCAAACCCTATCCTTGGAGGTCATCCTCCCATCATTCCTCTGTTAATGTAACATGTTACTGATGATATTCAATGCAGAGATACAGAGATGTGGTAAAACTTCTGGATGCAGTTTTAAGCAGCATATTCTTTCTTTTATAAGTCCTTGTATAAGTACTGCCATATACAAGTCTTGTGTTTTTAAAGGTCTAGTGTGTAGGATTAAGTGGCATCTCGCCATGAGGCTGCAGATTGCAACCAACTGAAACTTCTGCCGTGTTTCAAGCATAGATATATAATAATGACAGGACACTTGACACCATGACGGTACCTATAGGATAATGGAATTGCTCACCTGGCACATACGGCCCAAAAAGTTTCTAGCTTCCAGATTTGCTTCCGTAGTATGCCTCCCACTGAATATGCGTAGTAATGTTTCTCCCACTTGTCTCATAGATTTAACATTGGGATGACATCACAGATTTTTAAATTGCTCTTCGAGGCTCAAGGAAATTTTTAGAAACATAAAACCGCCATAGATCAAAAATTTATAATAGAAAATAGCTTCTTTGATAATGGTGGCCTATGGGGAAATTGCCTCTGGGTACCACAGGTTTTTTTTTTTTGTTTGTTTGCCACGATACAGCAAGGAGCTATTGGGAATTGGGAATTCGAAGTAAGGCTGAGTGGCGTTCCTGGGGGGCCTGGTGCCAAGTGTGAAGAAGAACTATGGTGGCAAGTGGCTCTATCAAGAGCCAGTGTTTGGTTTGTCTGTTCTGGGCTACTGTAGAAACAGCAAGGTGGGCTCTGTGGAAGAGTACCCGCTTCGTATGTAGATGTAAACGGCTCATTCTAAGGTAACGAAAACACAAAGATTCATTGTATCAGGTGATTATACACTTACAAAAGCATAGTTAAATAGTATATTTAATTTCTGCCAGTATATGACCCTAAATCCTTCACACTGGACCTTTTAATTAAGTAGGAATGATTGCACTTAATTTCAAAAATGTTATCTTGACCGTCAGTGTCTGGAGCAGAGCAGAATAAACTCATCACTACACTAACATCATGTTACAAACAACTGAAATGACTCCACAGTCAAGTCCAAGACTCAGTGCATAAAGTCATCAAGATGGCTTTTTTTCATTGCTGCCACATTCAATTTTTAATATATTTTCGTAGTACGTTGACACTCACTGAACACAATGAAAGTCCTCTAAATCCCCTCCTCATGTACTTGTCCTGTTATCTGTCTTGGTGCTGCAGTGGCATCTGCAGTCTCATTCATTCTGTAAAGCACACAGACTCATCTTGCTCAAATTACTAGTTGTCAGACACGCTTTCCCTACCTTCTCATAGTTGAAAAGTGAGCAGAATTTTAATTAAGCCACTACAGTCATTTCAGAGCAGCTAAGAGGTGTTGTCAGGCCCGACGCCAAGCACAGCAAGACCCTTTTAGCTTTTCTAAAATCACTGTCAACACTATTGAGTCTCTTATTGCTACCATCATAGTAGCTGTACAAAGTAACTGCACATATGAGTGATACTTTATAATTGTTGTGTAGTGTTCTTAATGTATTTATTGAGTTTTAGTTTAATTTTCACTAAGTTCATTTGTAATTCAAAGAACAGTTTGAACATGTTGGGAGGTGAAAAGCTTGATGCCACACTAATTTCTGCATGTTAAAAGGTAGAGTTAACAGGCAATTAGCTTAGCTAAGCATAAAGACTGGAATCAGGGGCAAACAGCTAGCCTGGCTCTGTCCAAAGGTACAAAAATATACCTACTAGCACATCTAGATCTTTCTAATTAACACAGTATGTCTTGTTTGTTTAAAAAAGAACCTGTAATGTTAAAATGTCAAGTTGTGGTTGAACAAGGGCTCATTTGCTGGAGTCTTGTGCTGCCTTCAAATGAAAAAAGCTTGTGGTTACGACATGGGAAACTGTGTACACAACATGCTTGGTGTTCAAGTGGTTAAAACGTGAGAACACTTTTGCAAGACAACAGCAACATGGATGTCAAGGGGCCACCTAGGCTGGTGATTTAGCAAGCTAGCAAGTGGGTCACGTAATGCAGGAAATGCAAAGGTGTAATGACGGAGGAAAAACATGAGGCTGTTGGAAATTTCTTCAGACATAGAAAATTATGAAGAACAGCTCTATGCAAGTAAAATTACAGTATATTAATATCCGGCATGGTCTGACCATTTCAGAAAACATCAGTAAACACATCATAGCTCATGAAATTTCCACCTGCATGATCGTGAATACCACAAGAGGGGCGTGCATTGAACACAACCCCATTCGAAGGAAGCACTGTTGTCACTTTCAAGTCAGGCAACTGGTTTCTTAAGCTTGCGTTAACCACAGACCTTATTTCAGTCATCTAGCAAAAAACTCATTCAAAAAACCCCACTGACTTTGAGATGAGGGAACACAGAGTGCAAATATGCTAACTCATTTACGGGTTTTAGGACTCATTCCTGCACCACCACTATAAGAAAATTAATTAGTGGATGTTAGAGGTGATGGAGATGTATTTTTGAACTTTGGACACAGCCAGGCTAGCTGTTTCTTCTCATTTCCAGTCTTTGTGCTAACCTTAGCTAATCGCTCGCAGCTTTAGCTTAATATCCAGCTTACAGACATGAAAGTGACATCAATGTTCTCATCTCACTCTCCACAATAAAGTATATCCCAAAATGTTCAACTGTTGCTTCAAAGTTAATCAAATGATTTGGTAAATGATCTACTTTTGCAAATTGCAGAGCAAAGAAGTTGGCATCCAGATGCAAGATGAGTTGCTTAAGGTCACCACTGAACTGCAGACGGTGAGCACTTTAGTTTGTCTTGGCATGCAGTAATGCTAAATAAGGTAATAATGCACTGAGGATGCTGATGTGTAGTTTCCCGTATGTGACATGTGCACTGATGAAGGCTCTGAAGACGTACAACCAGTACCACACAGACTGTCTGATAGCTGAGGGGAAGCTGAAGGAAGCCGAGCGGTTGGAGGAGAGACACACCGGCAAGTCAGCTGAGCTCGGGCCCGGCCAATCAGGGGGGCAGAGGCGGAGCTCGGTCAAGAAGATGGAGAGATTAATGGAGAAAGTAAGTGTGTGTCTGCAGTGCTTGTGTGTGTGAGTCACAGGAAGTCTTGAACTAGGTTTTCCACTAAACAGACCATTTCCTGTTCCTGTTGTTTTGTCTGTGTTTGAGTGTAAAAAAATGTATAAATGCATATCTCCTTTATGCACATGGTTTTATGAGGGAGATGGCAACTTTTTTTTATCTAGACATGGTTTTGTGTTCTTATCTTCTCTGACTTGATTTGTGTGCGTATGTGTGTGCATGCACAGAGGCATGGCAGAGTGCAGGAGACCCAGCTGAAGTGTACCAAAGCTCGTAATGACTACCTGCTGAATCTAGCAGCAGCCAACGCCGCCATGAACAAGTACTACCTGCAGGATATCAGCACTCTCATCGACGTAAGAAACATACAATTTGTGTTGTGTGATTGTCTGCGTGTGCTTGGAACACTGAGAGCATTCAGTGGTTTTCAGTCACCATTTTGTGTACCACTCTTTCCTGTTATTACCTGAAGAAAAGCTGAGATATTATGATGAAAAAGAATAGCTTTGATTTCTGAAGAACTCCCTGTCAACAAATAAAAAACCTCCTTTCTTCCACACCACAATCACCTCATTATTAATTCTTTCTCCCCTTTCCCTTTCCTTTTTACCTCCCCTGCTCCATTATTGCCTCCCCATCTCACCATTTCCTGTCTTTCTGTATCCCTAATCCTCCTTCACTACCTTCTTCCATCTATCTCTTCCTCCCCTCCTCCCTGGTAGTGCTGTGACTTGGGTTTCCATCTGTCCGTGGAGAGGGCGATGAAGTGCTACCTGGCCAGTAGGTGGCGCATCCAGAAAACAGAGGAGACAGGTCTCAAGCAGCTGGAGGCTGCCGTGACTTCCCTGGACCAGGGCGGAGACAGGGATGCATTGCTTCAGCAACATGACGCCGCCTTCTGCCTTCCATTCAGATTTAACTACCATCCACACGAGGGAGACCAGGTGAAGAATAAGAATTACTGTGCAGCAACCACAGACTGAAGCTTTAATCAGTATCAGTGGGAAAACATTGGGTTGGATTAAGTGCACCTGTTTTCTGTTGTACCACAGTATCATATAACCCCACCTTGTCACATTTACAGCGTCAACCTTACCTGTCCCACACTGTGACATTGCTCCTTATCTCATTTGTCTTTTTAAAGTTGATCTAAAATGAAGAATTAAGGGGAAAATCCTTGTACTGAAGGCAGATTTTTTTATGAATCCTGCTTTCTGCCCCTCCCATCTCTCTTCAAACAATATCCCAGTAGTCTGAGCTTATTGATCCCTCAGTGTTATATCTTGTTTGTGTCTTCCAGGTGTGCGAGGTGAGCGCGGAGAGCCAGGTGAGGTACGAGCTGGAGACCAGGTTCCAGCAACTTCAGTCTCGACTTGCTGCCGTTACCTTGGAAACAGAGGAGGTCAGCTAATTATTCTCACTGCCTGTTTCTTCAATGGTCTGTCTGTCTGTCCCCATCTGTCCGCCATTCATTCACTCACTCACTTACTCACTCACTGCAGCAAGCGACAATGTTCAACTTTACAGTATGAACATTAAATGAAACAAGATTAGATGAAAGCCTTGAATATGGCCGGGCTGTGTATGAAAGGCTGGAGGGCTTTAATCTGAAAACAGGAAGTGGTGGCATTCACTCAGTCATGCACTTTGCCCCACTTTTGTGGTTGAGCCCAAATATTCATGTAAATACATTTTAGAATGGAAAGCAATACACTGAGACACACTTACACACCAGAAGAGACCTGCTTTCTCTGGAGCTGTACCAACTGATCAGTTAACACAGCCCTCCCCTCTTCAGCTCCAGCTGGTGATGTATGCTACGTCTCTGCATCACGAATGGAGGCTGTGCAGACATCGGCCACTATTTCAGCCGAATAATGATCGGTTGTCAAACTGATAAATTGTTTCAACCTCTAGTTATGGGTTGTTACTAAGATGGCGGCACCTGTTTTGATATCTTATTTCCACTTTTTCTTTGTGAAGGTGGCAGCACCCCACTCTGACATTGTGACATGTAATATTCAATAATGGTTACTCATAGATTTTAAGCCACTCGTTTCAAACAGACACAGCTGTTCTCCAAGCAAATTGATGAGATGATCCTCTCTTTATGCCATACAAAACAGCCATTAGGCTACAACTGCGGCTCGCTAGTTAGCTAGCTAGCTAGCTTGCAAATTCCACCAAATTCCTCCAAATTACATCACAGTGGCTACAAAAAAATGAGCCAAACTAAGTTATCACTCATCTAATGATAGCAATGTGTCTTTCTACGCTGTGACAAGTGTTTAGGGATAAAGCATTAGGTTGATAAATTTTGGTCATTTAGCAGCTAACTAGTTAGCTAGCTAGCTTGCCAATTCCACCATGCCATTATGCCACACTGGTTACAGACAATGATGACCACACTAATACAGGGCTGTCAGGGCCCCAGCTCTGTTAGTGTGTCATCACTTACTCAGTCACTCACACAAACACTCACAGACTATAGGCAGACAGTTTATAGGACTGGCTTCACATGCTTCAGTTCAGCCAAAAGTTACATTGATACATTATCTAGGAAATGTGGAAAGTGAATTAACCAGTCAACATTTCTTTCCCTTTCTCAGGTCAGTAAAACACTTAAAGCCACGCTCACAGCCCTGCTGGACAATATGTGTGAAAGCGACTGTAACCCCTCCCCCGACGTGCCAAGCAGCCTATCACACGAGCCCCCTGGAGGAAACACCGCCCAAAAACTTACCCTTGCGAAGCGTCGAGCCAATCAGCAGGAGACAGAGACCTACTATTTTACAGTAAGTTACTGCACTTGGCTCAATGTGGACATATTGCTGTTTAAATATCTTCAAAAGTACATATGAGGCTTAAAGTTTCTTTTAATTACAACTTGGTATTGGCCAACTACTGTGGCCTCTGACATGATTTAGTTTCAACATAAATTTGAAAGAAACACATTTTCAGTGTCTTGTGTTGCACAGACTCAGCTCTGTAAACAGCTGACTGTCTTAGCTGAAGCAGTGATAAAGTGAAATGTAATTTTGTTGGCGGTGACACTTTCATTGATTTATTCATTCACTCCTGGCACAAGTTAAATAATAAGAGTGAGTAATGGCCTTCTGAAGGACAAAAGAGAAGTTATTGTGATGACTACGTGATAAATTTTGAGAATTACAGCAGAGTTATAGAAGCTGCGATTAAGCTCTGAAGGAAAAACTGCAACACTGAGTCAGTTTGTTTTATTTTATTTTTATTTTTTTGTCTTAGAAAGTGAAGGAGTTCCTTATCAGCAGTTCTCTGACCTTCAAACTTCAAGCCAAACATGACATTCTACACGATGCCATACAGAAAGGTACTCTACAATGTTATATGATGCGTTTGGCAATTTCATCTAATGTTGCTGCTGTTTGAATCAGTGATGGATCAGTTTTTACAAATGCATTAGCACTCACTCCACTGATTTTCTGTACTCCTGTAACTGTCAGACTCACGATGGCTAGCCTACTCTACATACAGTATCAAAATTGATGCAGCTTTTCCTTTTTATTCCACTCACCTGGCACCTTCATTACCCACAATGTAACTCAGTGGCCCACAGTTTGATTCAGAGGTGCTTGACTCGAGTCACATGACTTGACTTGAGTCAGACTCGAGTCTCAAATTTGAGGAATGAGACTTGCTTGAAAAGAGTTGACTTGACTTTGACTTGATATTCATGACTTGAGACAAATGTCTGAAAAGGACTTTTTTTTAAATTAAATATTTGCATTTTTCTCGATATAGAGAAGTTACGTTTTTATCTTTGAAACATGATTAGGCCATATCTAGTGCATATTGCGCAAACATGGCCACCTACTAGGAGGCTGCAGACCAGAAGAGGCCAATGCAGCTTTCATGAAGGGGGCTAGTCCAAAAAACATTACAACATTTAGATTCAAGAGTGCCTATGTTGTCATTGACGATAGTCAGACAACAACAGTAGTGTTCGAGGTCTGCAGCTCAAAATTCAGGCTCAAACACACAAAGAAAAGTACGTGAATGTGTCTTTTTAGCTAACTTATTAGCTCATTGGCTGGTCAAACGTCAGCTGGGAAATGTAACCAGATGTTGAATATAACGTTTTGTGATTTACATGAGGAAGCTGGGATAGATCATCAGAACTTCATATGACTCGATTTGTGACTTGCCTGACTTATAGCAGGGACTCGACTTGACTTGATTGATTCTCACCACAGCAACTTGCTTGAGACTTTAAGGTTAAGACTTGAGACATACTTTTGACTCACTCCCATCTCTGATTTGATCAGACACATGAGTTTGTTATAGCACTGACTGCTACCTTGAACCAGTACCCAGATTTAAATTTTTAAATGTTCAAACTTGTAGTCTGATGCTGACTCAAGTGACATCACTTGCGGTAATTTACCAAATGTTGCACAGCTTCCTGTGGAGCCATAAAAGGCCTATACAACTTCTTTCATATATGCAATAGTACTCCCCAGCACCTGTAAAGAGATTTTGATGTTTAAAGTGGATGGAGTTCCCTTTTAATAATGCTGCACATTGTTTGCACCAGGACCCTAAACTAACTCTTTCACTTGTTTTCTGTCTCTCTCTTCCAGCTGAGGCTGTCGACAGTGACCCTTCCAGGTAAACAGTGTGTTTACACAGCTAAGAGTAAATAGAGTATGATTGAGAGGCATAGAGACACGGAGAGAGCAGAGAGGACAAGGAGAAGAGGAAAGAGATTCACCAAATTTCAACCAAATTGCCCCATTTGGCAATTTCCTATGTATTAAAGCTGTTATTTGGAGGGGAGGGAATGTGTAGTGTGACTGATAATGGAGATTAGCAAACATCTTTAGAGCTTGAGTTTAATACCCACATGTAAAATGGCATTATGCATTTTATTATTATATTTCCCAGAATGCAATGTGCTCGGTCAGTGCGTGTACGGAAGTCCAGACCTGTTTCCCAATTCTGCCACACACTCTTCACCACAGACATAATCTCCTACATACAGGTAACACTCATACACACACACACAAACACACACACACATGCAAATAAGAAAAGAGACATTCCTTTGAAACACATCCTTGTTTTTACCTCCTTTTTATTTGCTCGCTGCACCGCACTGCACTGCACTGCACTGCACTGCTCTTCAACCCTCCAAAGGGAATGATTTAGAAAATCCTGTCACACTAAAGCAGAAGAATTGGTGGGGGCTTCTTGCACATGCACATCCACACACTGACAGTCCATCCCCCCAGTGTACTTACTGCTGCCTTCGTGTGTATGGTGATGCTTATAGTTTATTGCTGGCTTTCTCTCCTTTCAATCCATTCCCCCCCTTTTATCTCTTCCTCTCTTGTGAAAGGGATTAAAATGCACTGGCCTCTTTGTTGCCTCCTCTCTCGGCTCCTCTTTTGAGAGTGTGTGTGCTTATGTGCGCCTCTTCCCACTGCTTCTAAATCTTTATTCCTCGTATTTCTTACTCTGCCTTTTCTAATCTGTGCTTTTTCTCTGTCTCCTCTCCGCTGTGCTTGGCTTGGTGCAGACGAAGAAGGAGAATGTCTCGGACACAGGTACCAAACCCCGTCTGTGACTGCTACTACTATGCATGCAGGCCGTTAGGCATTTTCCTGCAGCAACCAGGGCCTTAGCTACCATTGAGGACACTGAGGTCATGTCCCTGGGTTTGTTTTTTTTTTTTGGAAACGCTGGGTCTGACAACCCTGGAAGGAGGTTTACATTCTACTGTAAAAACTCCATGACTAGTTGAGTTGCTTTCTTGCTGCAAGTTAGATAAGATGATAGATACCACTCTCATATCTGTACAATAAATAAGCCATTTAGCTAAGCTTAGCGCAGAGGACACACATTTTGGAAGCTAGGGAAAAAGCAAGCCCGCCTCTATCCAAAGGCAACAACATTTTGTTCCAGCAAGAAACTCACCGTAAAACCACAACTTAACTCATATTATTTTATAATTTATATTATTTATATATATTTCATTCTCCAGTTTTGTATGGACTAAACAAACAGAGGACTGAACCAGACTACCTGTATAAGCAGACTGCTGGCTCTGTAACATTACATATAAAGCAGCTACAAGGTGCCTTTATAGGACCTACGTAAGCAAACAAGTCCATCTGCTTTCTAGTTATTCTTAATGCCTGTTCCCAGGTCTGATTCCCCATGAAATCAAACAAAACAAGGTATGGCAAGCAAACCCGAAGACCCTATATTTAATTTTCCCAGGCAAAGTTTCACAGTGAGTAATACGTTCGCAAGTTTAAAGAAAGCAGGAGGAGATTCTTCTTTAGATAATTTTATTTTGGATTTTTTATTTTGTGGTTATGGCTGATACTGGGGCAGGACCAGCAAAAGAAAAAGTACTGTCCAAAGAACAAAAAAAAAAAAAAAATATATATATATATATATATTAATTATAATAATTATTAATATGGTGGCGAAAAGAAAGTTTACCTTGTTTCACTATCATCATATTACCGTTATTAACCTTACAGCGCCACAAACAGATACATTGCCTCATCTCTACGCATCCTGCAAACAGTTGTGTTTAAAAAAGGGTAATAGCATCAAAAATAAGTTGCGTCTTTCTTTCACTCACTTACAAAATTAAAGCATGTGCTAACCAGATCAAGATCTTATCCTCTTTCAAGGAGGTGGTGCTTATGGGATAATCACACAAAATGAAATTTTCTTGTAGTTTGTAGTTTGCTTGTACATTTTGGACAGGCTTTTTCGCTTTCTTGCCAAGTTACATGACAAGCTTGATACCACTCGTTTATCTGTTCTTTAAAGGGATAGTGCACCCAAAAATGAAAATTCAGCCATTATCTACTCACCCATATGCTGAGGGAGGCTCAGGTGAAGTTATAGGGCTCTAGTTTCCCGGCGCAGCGCAGGGTGGCGCAGGGTGGCGAACCCCGCGCAGAGCTAGTTTCGAGCAGTGCAACCCAAGGCGCGCTCAGTTTGGTAGTTTGGCAGACCAAGGTGCGCTGAGATGGGTGTGGCAGCGCAGCAGGGGGAGGTGTCGACAGATCCAGCTTGGCGCAGTGACAGTTTCGTGCCAAAAGGCTTCGCCGAAGGTGTGCTAAAAGCTCGCCATCTGAAACCAGGTCTACTGTCAGCGCAGGGGGAGCACAGCCGGTGTAAGCCGAAGTTTGGCTGACCAGCGGACAGTGCGCACACGTCACCAAAACCTCACAGGCAGGTTTCCAGAATATCAGGCACACTAACAATGCAATACATAGCCACAAAACCACTATTCAGTGCAACTATCTGCAATCAACACATAAATGTATCTCTATATTGACTGTCCCGTCACATCTGATGTCAGATCAAAGGGGATTGGCACCGTTTGGCACCGTTTGGCACGCGTAATGGAAACCGAACCCGATTTGATTAACACAGCCTGCAAACTAATGAGTTCACATCCCTCTCAGCCAACCACAAACAGCCACAGCATCAGATAGGGAGTATATATTCAGCATCTGTCATCTTAGAAAAGTCAAAAGAAAAGAAACAGAGTGAGACTGCGAGAGAGAAAGAGAGAGCACGCGCGCACGAGAGAAACACAACATTGATTTACAATTGTGGTGACCTCCTCCCAGGCTACTTTTGCATCATCAGCCCGTGGAGGTCTGCTCGCAGTTCCGTATATTCGGACACTGTGAGCAGACCTCCCGGACCAAAACATCAGTTTCCTCCTGGGAGACGTTTGGCCGTCTGACGCTGCTGCTCTCTTCCGCCATGGCGAATTGAGTAAACGCTCATTACACCTTTGTGTGGTGCATTTAAGGGCGAGGAGCTCATTTGATTGGTGTGATGTGTGTAAAACCCACTCCACGCCTTCTCTCCTCCCTCTTTCCGACTTGCGCCTGTAGGAGGGACGGAGGTGGGATAGAGGAGTAGCTGCGCCAGGGCCCACGGTGTGCCAAACTTGCAAAATCAGCAGGTGCGCTGCACCTCCGCCTCGCCCGGTCTGCGAAACTAGAGCCCTTAAAGTCCTCACAACACTTACGGAGATCCAAGGGGAGAGGAGGTAGCAACACAACTTAATGGAGGCTTATGGCGCCCCAGATTGAAACCACAAAGTATTTCCATACTGCTCGTCTGTAGTGATCCAAGTGTCCTGAAGCCCCGACATAAAAAGTTCATTTGAATTCTGTTTTTAGCCTCATTGTAGCCTGCAGCTCTAACTGCTTCTCTGGGCACTGCGCTCACATGTGCGCGCTTGCGCACGGAAGCATGTGAACACACAAGAAGGCGGTGTCCATGTCTCACGGTCTCGCGCAAGCGTGCACCCGTGAGCACGGTGCACAGAGAAGCCGTTAGCTGCAGGCTACAGTGAGGCTAAAAACAGAGTTCAAATGACGTTTTTCCAAGCAACTTTTTATGTCGGGGCTTCAGGACACTTGGATCACTACGGACAAGCAGTATGGAGATATTGTGTGGTTTCAATTATGTGTTTTTGGACGTTTGAATCTGGGGCACCGTCAGCCTGCATTAGGTGGAGTTGTGCTGCTACCCACTCTCCCCTTGGATCTCCGCAAGGGATGTGAGGACTCTAAAACTTCACCTGAGCCTCCCTCAGCATATGGGTGAGTAGATAATGGCTGAATTCTCATTTTTGGGTGCACTATCCCTTTAAAGAACACATAAAAGAGTGGTATCAAGCTTGTCATGTAACTCGGCAAGAAAGCGAAAAAGCCTGTCCAAAATGTCAACATATTGTTTAAATTCGTTTTTAGATTCAGTACACTTAAATTTAAGGCCAGCAAATTAATAGTAAAAACATGAGCTTGTGTTTCTCCAACCGAATTTTACAAGAGATTGTCTTACATATCATAATTGCTTAATAGTCACCATAAAAATTGGAAAGAATTAATTTGGTACTAATTACAAGGAAAATATAGACAAAGATCTGAGCATTATTTTAGGTCAGGTTTACTAAATTTAGTTTGCAATTCCAGAAGAATTTTCCTAAAAGAACTCTGTGATTTTAACAAAACATTCAACTGATGCATGTGAATAAAATGTGTAAAACCAGAATAATTTATGTATTTTTTTAAAAACATAATGATGTGTTTGCCTCATGACCTCAGTATTTCAATAATCCTGGTTACGGCCCTGGCAGTGACATCTGTGTTATTCCTCAGCTGTCTTCGTCTGTTTAATCAGTATTTCTCCCGCCTTGTATATATTCCTCTCTTCCTCTTATCGCTGTTATTTCTTATCATAAGCCAGCTTATATCATTATCATTATTTTTGCACTTATGAATAATACTTGTATCATAATGTGTACAGCTTTCCTTGCTTTTTTACTTTTTTTTTTTTTTTTTGCTTATTTTTATATTGTGTTACCTATTTTACGTGCCTCTGCAAACTGGACAAAAAAAGTGTTTTGAACTGAACTGAATTGATTTCTGTGTGGACCCTGTCCTCTTCCTTTGCATCTCTATCTGCATTCTCTGTCTGTCTCTAACACTCTCCTCTCATTGTTCTCCTCCAGAGCTCTGGGCAGCAGATTCCTGTGGTGGTTGAAAGCTGTATCCGTTTTATAAACCTTCACGGTGAGTCCGTCTCTATGGTATAGCACTGAGCCATGCTGAGAGAGCTTTGATCGCTGAGAATGAGAGGGTGAGAGTACTTGCTTGTGTATGTGTGTGTCCGCAATCCTGGATGTTCTTGTATGAAACATCTTGAATCTATGAACATGTAATATGTGACTGTGTATGTGTGTGTGTGTTTCTCAGGCCTCCACCACGAAGGAATATTCAGAGTTCCTGGGTCACAGCGGGACGTTAACCTCATCAGAGATGCATTTGAGAGAGGTAAATGAGCTTCTGATATTGCGTCACTTTTTCCACCAATGGAAGTAAAATCATTTTTTCATTACTATTATCCTTTTAACCACGTTTAAGGTCCTGTATGCAACATTCAGAACATTAATATAGCAGCAAATCACTATTTGCTATGTAAAGATATAGTGGAGTAATCAGGTCCCGTGCAGAAAATGAAGTCACATTCTCTGTGTGTGTTGTAATCTGAGCTTCTCTGTGGTTTATTTTGGTAAGCCAGTCTGGCCGCACGTGTATGTAAGTGCATGTGTGTGTCCCACCAGCCAGCTCATCACTGTCGCTCTGCACCGCGCTCATATAATGGTTACCACTGATAGCAAATGGCGGCATTGCGGAAGCTTGGTGCCCACCCTCTGGCTCCCCCATGGTTAACACTAGACCGAACCCGACCCGAGTTCAAGACAGTTATAACCAAGCCTGGCCCAAAATCAACGGACAATCTGATTTTTAAGTCCAAACCCAACCAGAGCCCAACCCGAGCCTGACGGGACCTGTATCCACACTCTGGTTAACACCATTAACTCTCTGTTAGCACTGTTGTTTAGCACTGTTTATGGATTTAGCTCCGTTGGCTTTTTTTGGCTACTTGAAGCTGTAAACACAACACTGACATATTATCGCCTCATAAAGTTGATATTGGCAACGTGTCAGGAAACAGTTGCCTTCCACATTCACCACATACAGAGCAACATTAGCATTCATTTTGATTCGTATACATCCCATTGTCACTTTTTGCTCTATTTGACACTCCACCAACTCCTATTTTAATTATCTGGCTCTTTAGCTGCTAGGTGCATCACTAGCTAATTGCTAGTTTTGTCTGTCTGCCTTTTAGCACTGGACAAGTAGTGTACTGTGAGTTTGTAGAGGAGCTTTTTACCAAAAACAGATGCTTCCTGCTGCCAAAAATAGTGAACTGAAACACTGAACTGAAAGATGCTACAAAGCTCTGTAGAGCTGAGGGTCATAATTCACATTACACACAGTCATTTAATCCATTATTATTATTATAAAAAATATCGATTTTAGCTGCTTTAAAGAGAATTAAAGAATAATTTAGATTTAATTGCCTCTGTTTTCCAATATTGCTGATTATGGCTATGATGTTTTCGGCTAAAATGCTAATTACAACCTAATTACCTAATTCAACTTGTATATCCCCCGAAATAATTAGGCATTTTGAGGTACACAGTTTGACATCTTACAACTATTTCGACTGCATTTAACTGTATCGCTTGTTTTTGCATGAAAATGTGTACATAAGCTACAGTGACATATTGTTCTGTGGTTCACTCCCTGTAGGAGAGGATCCTCTGTCAGACAGTGAGTGTGACCTGGACTCTGTGGCCGGTGTGTTGAAGCTTTACTTCAGGGGCCTTGAGCCTCCTCTCTTCCCTTACGACAGCTACTCTCAGCTGCTGGAGTGTGTCCGTAAGTCTCCCTTATAACCCCTAAATGTCTGTGTGTATGTGTGTGTTTTTTCTGTTTTCAGATCCTGCAGGCTTTCATGTCTGCTTTCGGTTACTCACTTATTTAGGTATCATGTGGTTTCTAGATGCTTATTCCACCTCGATTTAGCTGATTCACCCCCTCATGTACAGTAGAATGAGGGTAAACCTTTAGTAGTTGCCTTACACAGCGGTTGCCTCTTTACTGATGCCCTGCACACAAAGTAACTTGTTTCGGGAATCCTCCCCCACATATACACACACACTGTTGATGCAAGGTAGTGCAACTTCTAGTCTCTCTCTACTGGTGCATCTCACTGTTTTTTTTGCTCTCTGTTGTTATCTCTCTCACAGTCTACTTGTTATTCCTGTAGGGCCAATTCTGTTTTTCCAAAACCAAAACTCTGAGTCACAATTTGCACAGCTAATCAAGGTTGTGAACCTGCCTGCAGGTTGTTTACTCCCCATAAATACTTGGATTTTCCATCAGAGGCATAATAAATCAACCGAGCCACTGCACCTCAGTAGTTTAAATACTTGCCACAGCATTTCTTTATGTCAGAATTTTGATTGATTTATGCATCTGACACAGCTCCTAACTGCTGCAGGTGTGGATAAACTGTAACTGCAACATTTCAGACTTGTCATAATAGTTCAATCTTTGCTCACATTGATCCTTTTCTCTTTCCTTTTGGGTCATGATCAGAAATCGAGGGGGTGACAGAGAAAGCTGCCCAGATTAAAGCGATTGTCTCCACCTTCCCACGGCCTCTCCTCATCGTGATGCGCTACCTGTTCGCCTTCCTCAATCAGTAAGCTACAACGTAACCCAGTGTGGGACATCTTATCGCTTGTCATATCTGCTTTGGTCAGTTAATACTTAAAACAATTGTGTGTGTGTGTGTGTGTGTGTGTGTGTGTGTGTGTGTGTGTGCGTGTTCCCAGTGTGTCTCAGTACAGTGATGAGAACATGATGCAGCCCTACAACCTGGCCGTTTGCTTCGGTCCCAGCCTGCTGAGGGGTTTGGACTCTGATGACGCTGTTGCTCGGCAGCCACAGGTCAACGATCTTGTCAAAACCATGATCCTCCAACATGACATCATCTACCCCAGCCAGTCAGAACTGCCTGGCCCCGTCTATGAGAAGCACATGACTCTGGAGCAGGAGTACTGGTGAGAGATGAGTAGTCATTGATATAAATGTGGTATTAGTTGAGATGAAATGCTGTTAACATCAATATTTAATTGTTGAAAATTAGGTCTTGACAATATTTCTGTTATATTGATATTGTGATATGAGGCTAGATATCTTAGGTTTTTGATATTATAAGTGTTTTCTTTTCTTGGTGTTTAAGGCTGTATTATAGTAAGGTGGTGACATTTTCTGAACTTACCAGACTGTTAAAGCTGTTCTATTATTTCTCTTTACCCACTTAGTCATTACATCAATATTACTGTTGATTGTATATTAAAAATGTTGTGTAAATATATGTGAAAGCTCCAACAGTCAGCTACAAAACTATTGTCACATTATTAATATCGAAGTATTTGGCAAAAAATATTGTGATATTGTATATTCTCCACATTGCTCAGCCCTATAACAAATACTTGTTTAAAAATATGGAGCCCAAAACTGAAAAAAATATAGTAAATAAATAATTAAAATGGAGGTAAAATAAAACTTGAAAACTTAGATTAGTTTGACTAATCAACTGATGAAATAAATTATAACACTATTAAAATACATGAATAAAATGCTTAAACTACTAAGTATTTTAGGTGGCAAGCTAATGCTAACAACATTAGCCATCTTACACTATTTTTAAGCCTCCATGCTGATGATACCCTACGTCTGCCCCATTTTTTTATGAACATGATATGTTGAGAACGCCTTGAAGAATTTATTTTCAAATTTGACACAACTGTCCACTTGGACCTAGTTATGAACCGATTACATTTTGGTGGTTGTAGGTCAAAGGTCAGTGTCACTGTGACCTCATCTGTCTCATTCACTTGAGCGCAAAATCTCAAGAATACCTTCAGGGAATTTCCTTAAATTCAGCACAGCTGCCCACTTGATTTGCACAATGAACTGATTAGAATTTGGATGGTCAAAGGATAAAGGTCAAAGCCACTGTGACCACACTTTTTGGGCCATTCCTCAACACCATACCTCAGGGGCACAAGAGGTCACATTTGGTCAGATACCGGTGACAATAATCTTGGGTGTCCACTTTGAAACTGTGCTGATTGTACAGATCTTCTGTGCTGTTGAGGGAAGAAGTGTGTGGAGCATACATGTTTTCACAGACAAACTGTAACTGCAACTTGGTGTGTGGAGGCGTACAACTGTGAGCTTTTTGCTTTTTTTATCATCTTATTGGAAGTTAAAAGAAAAGTGTAAAGCTTTCATTTTTTTTTATAAAATCCACTGTTTTTAGTGAACTGTCAGTATTAGTGTTAGTATATTTGTATTTGTGTTTTTATGTTTTTGACTTTGGTAATGTTTTACTTCACTATGTCAGGGCCTGGAATGAAAATGGTTTCGATGCTTCGTCAAATCTGGTTGAATGGCTGAACTGATCTAACTTGAATATGTGATTAAACTGGCTTTCAGTACTCATGCTTAAACATAATACCATCTTCACTTATTTTTGTCCTCTTGTAGTAATTGAATGACTGGGCAACAGCCCCACATTGCCGCAGAGATTTGCCGGTCATGTTAGAGTTTAAGACTCAGTCTGAGTTGGTTCCAAGTATGTAGAGCCGCTTCCCCCTCAGCCCCTTTTTCATGGCTCATCCTCTTGAAACAGAATTTCATGCCATGCCAGAGGCATTTCTGTGCAGCTTGCAATTCTTTGTGTAAAAACTGCTTAATGCTATTAAGCTGATTGCTCACTAAAATTGAACACAAGCCTCGAGCCTATCGGCAGTGTCCATGGAAACCTCTAACACCCCAGAATCAGCTCTTGGGTAATTCACTAAAACTGTGTTTCCTTCAAGAACATTTATATAATATACTTTGACATTTGACAGAGCACCATCAGTAATTCTGTTTTGGGTTTTCCGAGGTTTTCCGAGGTTTCCTGAGGTTTTGGGGTCATTTGAGAAATCTCAGAGCAGAATGTAGTATTGTGTGAATTTGCAAAGGTGAAGTGAGGAGTAAAGAAAGCCTGTGGTAAACAGTTGGTCTGTGTGTCAGACAGAAGAGGAACTGTGCATGCCCACTGACTTTCATTTGTCTGTTTGTCCGCAGTGAACCAATCACAGAGGAAGGAGATGGAGAGACTGAGCATCTGCCCAGTGAGGACGGTGAGTACATGGAATACACACTCATACACATACACACACCAGAGGCCAGCTTTCATTAGACACAGGCTTTGCATCACTTACTATCCTTCACATGAAAACACCACAAACTGCAGTTACATTTTGAATAAAGATTTTAGATTATGATTCATACGCACACATGAATTGGATTAGTGCCTGGGTGGACTGTAACCGTGCATGTGTGTACAGAGTGGGAGGCAGTGGCTATGTTTGACTACACGGCGAGATCTCCTGCAGAGCTGTCCTTCAAGCAGGGAGAGCTTCTCATCCTTCACAGCAAGGCCTCCTGTGACTGGTGGAGAGGCGAAGTGGGAGGGGTCAAGGGTCTCATTCCTCACAAGTACATCAGCGTGCTGGACGGGTGAGTAACATTTTTTGCTTCAAAACCATTCAAGTAAACACTGCAGTCATATCCAGAGCCAGTGCCAGGATGATGACAGAATGGATCTTGGAGGCCTCTATCACAGTTTGAGATGGTACATTTCGTTTGTCACTTGGCTCCAATTAGCTGTATTGCCTCTCAGTCTGTTGACTATACATATGTACATATATGTTTATGTGTATATATATATATATATATACACATATATATTTATATGAGCCCCAAAAACGTGTGTGTGATGGCCGGGTGCCATGTAAAAAGTTTTATATTTTCTTGTGTGTGTAGGTGTTTAAACCGCATATGTAATTCACATTGCCATAAACAGTTCCACAGTTAAAGGGACAGTTCCTCCCCAAATTAAATATACATATTTTTTTCCTCTTATTTGTAGTGCTATTCATTAATTTAGATTGTTTTGGTGTGAGTTGCTGAGTGCTGGAGATATCAGTCGTAGAGATGTCTGCCTTCTCTTGAGTATTACGGAGCTAGGTGGCACTCAGCTTGTGGTGCTCAAAGTGGCAAAAAAAAAATACATTTGAAAAACTCAACAGCAATGTCTCTTTCCAGAAATCATGACCCAGTTACGAGCAGTTTCATGTAGGAACTATTTTCTTTATACCAAACTACACCCACCAACAGAAGGAAGCGTGCATCTACTCATGGATGAGAGGCCGTGCTTCGGACAGTACGAGACTTAAACATTTATGGTGTCTTCCTTTGCTGAGCTTTAACGTTAGCTAACTTAGTGGTGCTAGGTAAGCTAGCAGTGGATGCACGCTTCCTTCTGCACAGTGATTAGGGGCATGAATCTCCAGGCACCTCACAATTCGATTATGATTCAGAGGGCAACAATTTCATGATAAAACAATTATTGATGCATCTAAATTTTTGATTTCTCTACATGGTTTCTTTTTCTGTCTTGCTACTTTAAAACATGCAATCTGTATTTGTAGTGATCCATATTAAACAGAGAAATTTACTTGCGTACAGTGTAGCTCTTGTCTAGGTCCCTTTTCCTTCAACCCTATACCCAAAATGCTTCCATATCTGAGCTTTTGAACCAGGCAGAGGCAGTCTGATTTTATGCATCTGCAGCTGCTCTTGCTAACCCACTGTGGGATGGTTTTGCCAACATAGCATCCAGTGTTTACATACTGTAATATTCTGCCATAAATAGTATGCAATTGATGTATTGTTGAATAATAAATGGTACGAAGTCTTTCTATTTTTAAAAGTTAACTGCAGTAATTAATGAATTGATTAATGTGAGAACACCTTACAGTCTTTTTCTTATGTGACAATAACAAAATGAGGGGGAGGCAATGTGCTCCACTGTGTTGTTGTTGACGTCTCCAGCAGTGGAGAGCAGTTCCTCTGCTGCACATTAGTTCCAGGAAAAGCCAAGATGCTAAACAGGCCAGGTGCTGTGTTTTTTAGGTGAGCAGACAGTTATTTTCTTCAGCACAGAGTTGGTTCAAATTGTTTGGTGCTGCAGTGAGTGTTGGTCAGCCGGTCTCGTTTGCTGCTCCGCTCCATTAATTTTCTTCTCTGGGTGATGGCCTATAAAGTATTTACACTATATTTCACTTCTCCCCTCACAAATGTAATTATTTAGATATTAAATTAAAACATGCTTGCAACCACATGTCTTTTATCAAGATAATGGGATCTGGGTGCTCACTGTCCTCACAGTGGAGTTCCGCCTCTTTTGTTCCAACAACACCATTATTAAAAACATTTAGATAATAGATTATTGACATTTGTAAATCAATGCTGAATCATCCACGTCCGCATATTGATGCATCTAAGAATCGATTATTTTCCCCACCCCTAGCAGTGATACAGTTAGTGGGAGTAGTTTGGCAGACAGAAAATAGTTCCTACATGAAACTGCTCACAACAAGGTCTGTGGATTATCTTGAGTAACCAGGTCATGATTTCTGGAAAGAGACACTGAAGTTTAATTTTTCAAATGTAATTTTTTTTGGCACTTTGAGCACCACAAGCCGAGTACCATCTAGCCACAAATTGAAATTGAACATCGACACAGGCTCACTGTGCTATAGATTTCTGCCTCGTCTTTAAATTTTTCCATATATATATAAAAAAAAATCTAGTCACATGTAATATCACTCCTGCTTCTGCTCCCTCCTACAGTTGTTTTGTCGCTCAACCTTTATCCCATATTTAAACTTGTACTGGTTGTACTTTCTGTAGTGAAACATATTCCTAATATATCTCTCTCTCTTCTTCTTCTCCTCCCTCAGGTCAGAGCGAGGGAAAAGAGAGGACGGAGGAGGAGGAGGAGGAGGCAGCACTGGAAACCTGACAGCAGAAGATCCACAGACGGAGAACACAACTCGGTACACACACACACACACACACACACACACAGACATGCACACACATGTAGTTGGTGCACACTGCAATATAAGACTGCATTTACGCCAACGAACACAACAGATGTAGACAGCAAAATACACACACAGACAGAAATACTCACTTTCACATTATTGCACACAGTTCTACACAAGAACAAACGCTTGCACATAAATGCACATAACACAAAGTTTCTATGTACATTTTGACAGAATGCGGGTGAACAGCGACAGTGCTTCGTTGCCTGGGAGACAGAGAGGAAGTGAGGGGAGCCCCAATCGAAAGCCGCCAACCTCTCCTGCCACACGACACCTGCCAGTGTAAGACTGACACACACCTCGGACACAGTACATGCTGTGCTGGACTCATCACTCACATACATAGAGGTTTATAGCCTCTTCTATATACGAGTATAGGATTATGATGTTATACAGAGAGATAAAGGGATCAATATTATTCATGTAGAAACATTCAAGAGAAATCACAGCGGAACAACACACAACATTACCATTAACGTACTTTAGAGCGGCTACAATCTACATAATCAGCTGAATGTGCAGCTGCTCCTCTCTATGTAGCTGTTTATTGCAGAGTCCTGCACCAGGGTTGGGTATCTGCGAGGTAACCTGTAAAAAGGTTGTGTGACTGGTAAAAAATATGTATATATTTATATAAATTCATGGGCAAATTATGCGGAATGGATCCTTGGCACAGATAGGCAAAATGGCCCACCACCTCTCCTAAGCGCAAGTCTAAGACTTTGTGGTAATTTAGTCTCTTTTTTGTTGTTGTTGTTGTTGTTGTCATTATGCATGTTTTTGTCGTCATTTTGTGTTTCTCTGTGGTTGCTTTGCTGCTTCTTATAGTTAATTTGTGTGACTTTGTGGTCTTTTTGTGCCTTTTTTGTAGCCATTTTGAGATGATTACTGCAAAATCGATTATCTTTGTGTCACTTTGCATTACATCAAAAACAAGGAGGAGCTTAGAATGGGATAGTAAATTATGCAAAACGGCGCAACAGCAAAATGGTGTGTTTAATCACAGGTCGAGTCACAGGACATAGCAGGTCAGGGCAGGTCCAGATTTGACTTGGAGATAAGTGACGGGTCAGTTCCGGCTTTAAGCTTTGCAGGTGCGGGTTTGCAAAACTGGACCTGAGCCTGACTCTGGTTTAGTCTCTTTCAGCTCATTGTTTTGGTTTTATAACCCACAACATTACTGCTTTTGATTTTGGTTAAAAAGCCCTGATAAACTTACCGTTCGCTACCTTCTCAGTACCAAACAACAAACAGTCTAAGTCAGGGATTTGGTGGTGAACATAGTCGAGCATTTGGCAACTGAAGAGACAGATATTTCACTCAGGAGTTGGTGGTCTCCATATATGGCTAAAGCAGAGTGCATATTACACGAACTGGATGGACAGAAACATGATGTGACATGACAAACGAATACTCATGTCTGCTGAATGTGCAAACAGACAATGGTTTACTGCGAAGTTCATGATATCAACTTTGTCGGTTGATAATATGTCAGTGTTCACAGCTGGTTTCTGCAGTCCAAAAGAGACCAACAAATCAAATATGTCTGGTTTAGAATAAAAGGGTGTTATTGGTAATTACATACTGTACACACCAGCTAATGAAAGGCAGCCTTACCAACATTAGGAGGATGGTCTTTGTTGTCCTAGCAAGTCCTAATTAGGGGTGTAAATCACCAGCTTCATCACGATACGATATTATATCGATTTGTTTGGATGACGATACAATGTTTGCTGATATCACAAAATCTGTCACGATATGATTTCAATTCGATTCAGTTCAGGAGCCTGCAATCGATATGACGTGATATCATATGCCCATCTAACACAATCATTTTCATCAACTCACAAAAACAACTAGAATATGATTTGACCATTTTATTTCTGAGCTCTTCCAGGTATCAGGCATTTAAATGAAAAACAGTATTCTTTTGTAACAAAAAATAATAAAAATAGACCTGTTCACATTTCTCATGTTTAAGTGAATTTCAAAATAAAGGTGTATCTTTAAGATGACGATATGGATCGATGTTTTCATTTTGCATCGATGTAATCGGATCGTTAATCAGTGAATCGATGTATCGATGTGGATTGATGTATTGTTACACCCCTAGTGCTAATGTAGCTATTATTGAGGAACAAGCACCACAAAGAGACTATTTTTGACTAGAATTTGTATAGTTGTTATGATCTGATGTGCAATATCTTGAAATTCACAAACTGAAATCTGGTTAACATCTATTATATCTACAGTATATCTGTCTGTTATCTCTATTTATCTTCAGTTATGTTTTGACTTACTTGTGTTACCTTTTGTCTTTTAGGTCTCAGGAGCGAAGACACACTTTGGACACTGTGAGACAGGGCGGCTTCAGACCCCCAGACAGACCTCCATTTGGTCAGGCAGACAGACCAGTAGTGGACAAGGTTGGTAGTTCGCCCTGGTTGATATATCACACCTGTGAGCCACTCAGCTCCCGTGAGACTATAAATGGTGTTGGCCATCAAATTCTGGAATGTTTTTGATGATTCTAGAAACTCACTTGTTTTCTGTTCCAAAAATCAGATTTCATCAATTTACTAGATAACTCTTCTGAGTGAGCTGCTTTGCTGAATTGACCTGCTTCCTGAAAAGCTAGCTAACAGTCCTAGATATCAACAGTTTGTGCTGGTGAAGCTACATCCTGCAGTGGTTTGACGTCCAATGACTTATGACACAATAACCCCAGTTCAAAAGGAAATCTAACTGGACTTTTTGTACTAAATGTCTCTTTCTGCCAGTGACTAATTTGTGCACACTGTTAGTTTTCCACTGACAGCTGCTCAGCTAAATTAGTAACATGTTATACAGAACATTTATGCTCAGTGACCAGATAAATATAGACCTTGCCTCTGCAGAAATCTCCCTTCACTTCCACTTGTATATGTGTGGCTACTTAAACATACCATGCAAAATATGCATAAATATTTAAAACTGTGCTGACTATGTGATCTAACTGACTGATGGTTTGGGCATTGCCCAGACTGTAGAGTTTGCTTTTCAAATGCAGAAATTTTAAATATTCACAATGAAAAATGCTTAATCCGTAGTTGATAAATGGTGGTAAATGTCATGTGACTGTGGCTATACCAAAACTAGTTTTTATAAGACAGCAAACCCTTGAATAGAAAATCTAGCCCATGACAGAACACTTAGGCCAATCACAGCTCATTTCAGAGACAGAGTGTTCCTATTGACTGTTCTCCAAATGCAGATGCATGTGCACGTCCCTTCAGTGAAAGCCTAATTCAGAGAACCCCCTAGAGAAAGTTGCTATTCCAGCATTGGCGACAACTACCTACACTGCAAAGCAACCCAAAAAAAGGAAGACAGACTGATCAAAAAGACAGTCTAAAAAGGAGGCTGACAATAAACTAAATAAAAAAGGTGTCAACACTGGCAAACCATTACAGAGATGGAAAGAAAATGTTGCTTATAGTTTAGCTTTCTGCTAACCGGGGCTTCAACTTCACATTCATGTAGCTAACATTACAGTAGCTAGAGCCTCAAATCACAGTGTGTCCTCCACTACACTCCCCGCCACTATAGACTCCCTCACTGGGAGGAGAGCAGGCAGCAGCTCTGGAGGCTGACCCCCAGTCAGCAGCTGCAGTTACCTGAATCCAGCCAGTGCAAACCCCAGCTCCAGGAGGCAGCCCAGACTCCCTGTTGGACCAGAAAACTTTATGTTGCTGCTGTTACACAGGTTAGACCTGGCACTGTGGGTTTGCACTGGACTAATTTGAGCTGCTACAGCCGCCGACCGACTCCCAGGGAAGCAGAGAGACAGTGGGGCAGCTTGTTAGCTAATTCTTGTCTCATTTCTGTTCTAATAAACACTGAGAGATGATTAAATAAATCAGTGTATGGGAAGCACTGGATGAAGCCCATGCATATGCCCATGGTCGTCTGGTGGGAGGGGCTTAGGACAAAGAGGGGAGAGCTGCAGGAGGAGGGTATATTTTCAAATGCTGTCGTTTTCTTTTTTGCCTTTTCCAAATTTCTGCCTACCCCAGATTTAATGAGAAAGTACACAATCAGGCCACAGTCACCTGATATCAGTCCTAACCATCACCTTCTGGATTAACTCCAAAGCAGCATCCATGCAGCATCTTATGCAGCTGATAGTTCTTACTAGTCATAGGTCTATTGTTCTACTTTTTCTTTTTTGTGCTACATTTTCATTATCCTCCATGTCTCTTCCTTGCTGTTTGCCTCTCCACCTTTTGCTCTCTCAGGAGATGATCAGTCGTCAGATGAACTCAGTGTTCAAAGAGCTCCTGTCTCGCCAGCCTGCCGTGCCGCCGTCCACCCTCAACGCCCCTGCTCCCTCCTCCGCCTCCTCCTCCTCCTCCACTCTTCCTCAAGCTGCCCCCGCTGCCAAAAAAGTAGGATTTGGCCTCAGAGGAAGGGCCCTTTTCAGACCGGTGGACTGAGAGAGAGGAGAGCCGATGAGTGGAATTATTGATTTATTGTTTGACCATGATGATTATGCTGATGCATTTGGTAGAGATCTTGATTCATTTTTTCAACACATGTATAATATTTGCGTCTCTGCCATCTCATAGTGCCACTAGTCTCGGTGCCGTGTTACTGTACGTCCAGTGTGTCTGTTTTCCGGCTGGTTTTGGTCTCTTTATGTTCTGGTCTATTTTTGTTCTCCAGGCTTTTGTAATTTTTTTGGAGAATCAGGGATGTGACATCACGAGACTGACTTTTTAAAAGTAGTTGCCATAATACTTACAACAACAAAATACTTACACTGCCCCCTAGTGGCAGGTCTGAGATCAGCCCACCCTTATAATGTCTGCTTCATTTTAAAACAAATACTGATCCGGGGCCTGAGTGCCTTCACATTTTTTACTTGTCACATTTATTTCACCTGAATAAATCTGATAGGTTTGAACTCTGCATATTATGTTATATAAAAGTCATTTTGATGAAGGAAGGTGTTTATGGAACCCTGAAGTGTTCAACATTAAATAAGACGTTATGAAATAAATAAACATATGAAGAAACTGTGTAAACTACATAAATGAACTAACATTTTTATGAAATAATGAAGGAAGTTGTTAAAACTCAACTCATTATTTTGAAATGTTATGCTTATACTTAAGTCATTAAGTCACTAAGTAACTTAAATTTTGTAATCATTTGATTCTTTGCCTCTGGTGAGAGCTTCTATATATGAGCATTTGCCTTTTGCATGTCTTTATACATTTCTGATGATGAATGCTTGACAGATGACAGATGATTAGACTGGCAGCTGCCATAGCTGCGGACACTTATCCTTCCAAGACGGCGGTGCTGCCCCAGAATACTCCACAATTACCTATACTACTTACAATGAAATAACATTTCATAATAATGAACAGAGTTTTAATAATTTCTCAATCTTTGTTTTGCAAATCACTGTTAATGTTACACAATTTACCCATGTGAATATTTATTTTATAATTATTTATTTATTTATTCATTGAAAATTGAATATTTCCGAACCCCATAAATGTTAGCTGGGAAGACTGTAAGCAGTGGGGTCAGTACTTTATAGCAGCATGCAGCATTAGCACACACACACACGCACACACACAAAGATGGAAACACATTCCCCTTCATATGTGACACATGGCCTGATACACAGGCCAAAACTCAGGGCTTTTGCAGAGTTAGAGCCGGGCTAACTCAGGTTTGGCTTCAAAGGAATAAGTAAGAGTTTCTCACTCAGGGCTGTGGTTGACTTACTCTTCAACTGGAAACTGTGCCCTAGCCTCAAGAGCCAAAATGTTCCCCACATCAGAGAGGATTCAGTGACTTCCTCTGGTTTAAACTGTGAATGCAACGGCGACGTTTTGGAGCCACGATGGAAACTCTTGTCTCATTCATCCACACATTTTGGCGCCCCTCTGACTATATCTAGCACCATCCACAGGTCCCATTGTTTCAGGATTTATTTTGCAGTGAGGTGTACAATTATTTTGACTCCAAAAGCATTTGAAATGTTCTTACATATGGCATCTCCCCTCTGTCGTGTTTCAGTATTGGAAACATAGAAGCGGAATCCTTTTTCAATTGATTCTACTTCTATGATGAAAACTCCCTGTTATTCTGGATCACTGTTTGATAATGTCACTAAATTTACTGTGTCCAGTTGTATATGTGGTAAAAAAAAAAGAAGAAGAAGAATTCAATAAAGATGATTAAGTGATGAATGATAAAGGGGGTGTCAGTGTATTGCATGGATGACTGTATTCCAGGGGCAGATCCACAGAGGGCCATGTGGGGGCAGCTGCCACAGCTACTACGGGGCTTTCCCCTAAAGCTTTCTAGCTCCTAAAAGTTTAATTAGAACCTAATGCAATATTCAGTCATCATCTATGTCCCTAAGCTGTCAGGAGCACCAGAATAGGCATTAAGCAGTAGGCACAGCACTGTGCTGGACTTGCATTGTCAAATTCCCTCAGTGAGTCAAAGTGTTGCTGCATCTGAGGTGAAGTCAGTTTCTCTGTGTAAAGTTCAACTAAAACCAAGAGAGAGCATAATGCAACAGCATCAGTTTCCTGTTGTAAAGGGCATTCTGAAAAAAATGCTGTGCAGAGAGGCCAAGGCTGCGCAAGAGGATATGGCTGGCGGGTAAGGATTTGGCATTGGACCTTATGCACAATGCATGCTGGTACATGTAGGCACTACTGGCACGGCTTCACGAGCAGTAGAACTCCACTTTCTCGATCAATATAGCATGCACTAAGAAATGTATTGCTTCAATTGACTACATTTACCACCAACACCGATTGGAAATCTATATAAAATGAGTTGAATATTCCCATTAACTCTTTTGTATTCATCACTAGACATGATTTGGAACAATCTGTATCATTTACTGATTTCTGATATCAATTAATACCAACGAACTGCAGGTGTACAGTCGCAATAGTTAACAATAGTTATTGCATCCTCATGTTTGAACTGTTGATTTTTAGGGCAGTGATTCCCAACATGCAAGTCACAGCCCTTAAGGGTAAATTGGAGGGATGTCAAGATGAGTAAGTGTGAAAATAAAGATATTTTGCCATGACTTTTCTCTCATCTAAGCTTCTTTATTATGAAATATTGGAATATTTCACTTCTTAATATTTCTAAAAACTCTTCAAATGAAACAAACAAAGCTTGCATGCATGCTTTGCAACCTGTGGGAAGACCATAGTGCCACAAGTGGACATAGCTTTGTTTTAAAGGGTCATAGACCAAAAAGGTCGGTAACCTCTGTAAGGGAATGTTAAGCTCAGTGGTTTATTCTTAGGGAATGGATTTTGGGAAAGATCTTGTTTGGACTACAGCCTTAAAACTATGTCAGGGCCAGAAGATTGATTATTTTAAGAAAAAGAAAATGTCAGAAAATAAAAACTTAGAAATGGCTGTCCACCAACATCCACCTGTTCATCTGAACACAACACAACAGCCTGCATCCTGAGACTGGAAATATTTTTGCCATGATCTAATTATCACTTGCTGTTTTATTAATTTTATTTTCTGACTGTGGCTTACTAACAATGTGGTCCGACAGTATGAAACACAGATTTTTGCCAAGAGAATACTTCACATTTTACTGTTATGCAGTAAGCCAGCATTAGAGAGCAGCATGCAGCATTAGCACACACATAAAAAGAAGTAGCTGAATTGGCCTTCTGATGGAAATAAAAATGAAAGGAAACTGTGAGGATATTTCAAGCTATAAATGCTGAAGACTGCAGGAAGAAGAGATGGCAAGATTTTACTTATTGGCAGTTTTCTGCTGTCTTTTACCTGTAGTATATATATTCATGTGGGGAATCCCCCAACTCCCATTACACCCTGCCAAAACCTCATGCCCCCCCATATGAACATTTCTGGATCTGCAACTTCTGTTTTCTGACGTATCGCTCTGTAAAATCTAATTTCCATTCAGAGTCTGAATTTACACTTGTTTGCTGTATTGTTGGTGTGTGTGTGATTGTTTCCATCTCAGTGTCACAACGACAACCAAGTGCTGTAAGGCGATCTTTAAGGCCCATCCACTCCTCCTCCTAAAATAACCTCGTTCACACAGTCACCCAACACACACACACACACACACACACACACACACACACACACACACACACACACAGGAATAAGAGGCAATGTACCACATTAGCACTTCTGCTGCTCTAAGTCAAAGACTGTGGGTGTCTGTGTGTGTGTGTGCGTGTGCCTCTGTATGAGTTCTCATAAACCAGCTCAGCTCTGAGGGACATTGTGATTAAGCGGTTGAACTGATCTCATTGACATTTTAGATTAGCACTCTCTGCAGGGCTCCCCTGCCTTGTCTCTCTGCAAGGGTCTCTGTCACTGATACAGGATTAAGATAGCACTTTACGGAAGGTAAGTCAGACATGATTCATCCTTTCTACTGTGTCTGTCTCTGTCTTTGATCTGCTGCCATGATTCCTCAACAAGGATATGAGTTATAACATTGTTTTTTTTAACCTCATAGCACGTTTCATTTAAATATTGAAATTCATATCTTATACATGCAACTTAATTAAAAGTCTTTTAATCAGTTTATTAAAAGTCTTTTCAGACTTTTAATCATACTTGAAGATTTAAATGGCACAGTTTTGCTTTTACTGTACGTGCTCTATTTTAAAAATATAATTTTAAAATTATCAGCTGCTATTTACAGATTTGGGTATGGCTTCTTTTTTGGGGGCTAAAGAACAGGTGGTAGTGCCAGGGCTCAGCTTGCTGTTACACACAACATGCCTGCAATGTGCAGCAGGGGTGTATCTGACGGTGTGTGTGCGTGTGTGTGTGTGTGAACTAGTTTGCAGCATAAATGTGTGTATATTAATGTTCGATAAAATCAATAGAGGGCGACTGCACATATCCCACATGTAATGAATTGTGGTCATCTATTTTAATGCATGTGCCTCTTCCTTCAGTGAGGATGATGATGGTGAGCGATGACTGTCTGGTGGAGTGTAAGATTGATGATGACAGTGATGAGGACGATGGAGTAGAAGAACAGATAAACACACCTCCACCTCCTCCAGAGTTTGCATCCAAAGCCTCAACTCCAGCACCCAAATCTCCCACTCCAGTACCCAAACCTCCGACTCCTCCCACAGCCCCTGCTACACCAACACCCACCCATCCTGTCAACAGGGACCCTTATGGCATCAACCAGCACCTAAAGGTTTGCTTGTCCCCTCTCTATAAATCTATGCTGTTTGCCATAGCAGTGTTAGCAGTTGATTTGATGTATTAAATAGAACATTTGTCATTCTCTTCTACTGCTATCTCATGTGGTGTACCCCAAGGTTCCAGTTTGGGCCCTATGTTATTTTTTATTATATATGCTTCCACTGCAGTCTCTTTTTAGACAATATAACATCCCATATGATTGTTAAGCCTAAGCTTTAAGAAATAGAAACTGGATCCACAATGCAGATTCAAACAAACAGTCTTTATTGTCCAAGTCCAAGGGTGAGGAGAGGGGGAAAAACTCAGGGCTGGGGAAACTTCCAGGGAGGAAAAGGTGGCTGGCAGAGCATGGCAAAAACGGAACTGAGGATATGGCAGGGCACTGAGGACAACGAAACAGAGACACAGGTTAGCAAAAATCAGGTTGGTTCAAAGATTGAATGTACGAGTTCCAAAAACACAACAAAAAAGGGCAGAGCTGGTACCGCTGGAGGATAATCAACGAACTGGCGATGAGTGGAGAATGAGACCAGGTATTTGTGCTGCAGCAGAGGAGAGTGGCAATCAGCGGTGATACAGTTCAGGTGGTGGAGGAGGAGATGCAGCAGAGAAGTAGGTCAGCCACACCCAGCCAGTAACAGACAGGGAAGACAAAACAAACACAAAAACAAGCAGGGAGGGGAACAGAGAGAACACACACCCCGCATCCCAACAATGATTGCTATGTTTATGACAGGCAGGTGTCCTGTTTCATCTTTAAATCAAGCAAAAAGCATGATCTTCAATTACTCTCAAGATCAAAATATTAAATACTGAATGGCCACATTTTAAGACAGAGGTGCTTATCATGAGTCCTACAGATTTCCCTAGTGGTATGGGGAATTTTCGTGGGCCTCTGTCTTAAAAAATTCTGTATACAAATAGGTATCATTTCTTATTCAGCTCTAGAATTTGGCAATTTCTATCATTTAATTGTGCTTTTATCTCTTCACATCTTTACTGTAACTCTCTTTGTGTGTGAGTCACTTAGTAATCCCTGTCTTATCTAAAGCTATAAAGTATTTCAGTCAACACTTGTTTTTTTCTTATATGCTCCTTAAATAAACTGCCATGACTCGTACCTCCCACTCTCTTGTTCCTTGTCTGTAGGTGGAGGTCAGTGATGTACTTGCGGAGCCTGACAGACCTCGTAGCATAGACCAAGTGTGGCTTTACAGTGTCGTTGGCTTCGAGAAGGCTCGTATCTGGACGTATCAGTGCCTCTCCTTGCTGTTAGCTGTGCCCTTCGCTTTCCTTTGTGGTATTTTCCTGGCCATTCTCGCCTGTCTACACGTCTGGTATGCTGGTGTAATGGAAATGCTCCCTAATGTAGTCATGCACATTAGTGACAGAGTCGTGTGCTCACTTCATCAAATACAGCAGAAGATTCACTTTGATAGCACAGTTGCTCTAAACACGTGGCTCTCAGTGTCTTTTAAGCAATGTCTACTTGCAGTTACATATCTAGGTTATGAGTAGGGCTTATCTTCAATAATATGCCCAATGCTTTTAGCATTTAGACAATATAGTGTCAAAAAATAGTGAAAACTCCCATCCCAGATCCCATGTGTCATCTGTAATAATTTTGTTTGAACCATTTTAAACCCAAAGCTGCTCAGTTACAATGATACAAGACTGGGGAAATTAGGAAATCTTTACAACTATAACACATTTTCTTTCAATATAAACACATCATACTTGACTCAAAATAAGGTTTTCTTTTAATCATCATTTCTTGCATCCAGACTTTGGGCTCAGACGCTTCTCTCTAATAACTTTAAAGCATGTTGCACACATCTGGCTAATCCCTAAACAGTGATATCACTGCAGGCATGTGACTGGATGCCTGCTGGGGCATCATTGATTAGAGTTCTTGAAGCATCAGCATCTACCAAATATCTCTTGTTCGTGTCCATAAGAGAGAATAGTTTCAATACATGGCAATATTCAGCATACAACATGGCAACTTTGTGAAATCTTTCAGATGAAAAATGTTGATGATGGTGAAACATTTGAAGGATAATCAGCTGCCAGTTTTAACTCCTTAGGTGACATATACAGGGTAACATTAAGCTTGTTGGTAAACGAACAGTTAACATCATCACGGAAGTATTTTTTTTCCAATAATGATCCTAATTTAGTCTACACAAAAAGACAGCACAGTTTTCTAAAGCAGCATTTCTTTTAAAACTGTATTCATCACAGCCGTGTTTTTATAATGTGTCCGAAGGTCGGTGACTTAAAAATGACTTCTTGCAGAAAATTAGATTAAAACATCATTACCACTCTCATACAGTAAATTTATGATAAATATAAAGCTACAGCCAACAGGTGGTTGGCTTAGCTTGTCACAGAGCCTTAATTCAGGGGGAAACAGCTAGCCTGGCTCTGTCCAAAGGTAACGAAACTCTGTCTATCTCTATTTATTTGAAATAGCCCATTTAGTGATTAACACTGGAAAAAATAATTAGTTGTCTAATCCTAACCCTAACCTAAACCTAATTCTAACCTGAACCTTAAAACCAAGCCTTAATCCTCAAACAGATCTTTGAAAAAGTGAGGGCCGGCAAAAATGTCCTTACTCTGTAGCTAAAATATTTTTTTTGGTCCTCACTGTGTAGCATGTACAAGTATAGACACACACACACACACACACACACACACACTCAACTCAGCACTCAAAGAATTAGCATGCTTACACGACTTCCTTCTCTCTACCTGACTTTAGGTGACAACGGCTTCACATGATTTACACTCCTAATTGTTTCCAAAGTGATACCTTTCTACTTGCATGATAAATCTCTCTATTTGCTCAAGTAATAAATCTTTTTTATTTACTCACATAATAAATCTTTCCATATTCTCTCCCTCCATCTGTCCTGACAGGGGAGAGTTTATGAAAACAGTCAGTTGAGTTATTCTCTTTCTCTCTCCCTCTAGGTTTTTTGTGCCTTGCATACAGCTGAGCAACACCTTCCTTCCATGCCTGCGGTCTTTATGTATGTGCACTGTGAATGTTATCATCGCTCCCTTCTGTACGTCTCTCGCTCTCTGCTGCAGTCAAATTGCCATTTCACTGTCGAACAAGGACTGGCATCAAATGAGAGACAAAGATACTGTATGAATGTGATACATGACAAGTGACTGAGTGACTGAATGATTGAGTGAGCGAGTGAGTGTCAGAGAATTTGATTTAAATTTGTCTTTTTTTGTTTTTTAATTGCCGTAGTTCTGCAACCTGGTAATGTGATTGCTATTTGTATGTAAAGTTTTGTATGTAAAGCCAATTCATACAAGTTACTATTATTATTATAACTATTATATTGTTATTATTATTATTATTACTATTATTATTATTATCATTAGTAGTAGTAGTAGCAGTAGTCGTAGTACTAGTGGACATAGTATCATTATCATTATTATAATTATTAAAAAATTTATTCTGAGTAAATTGTAACTGTGTCGAGCTATCAATAAAAGAAATGTCAAAAATATCTTGTTTCTGTTTTCTTTCACCAAATAGACTATGTAAATAAATGTTATAGTTATGTGCACAGATGAATGCAGAATGAAGTTGAATTAATCAGTCATCAGTCATTTACCAAGCAACAAAAAAAAGGGTTACTGTGTTATTATGTCACCAAAAAAGCAACACAGTACCATAGAGAGTAAATAACATTTGCTGCTTTCTCTTCCTAGGTTTGAAGATTTTCTACATTTATTTGAAAAGTGATCCCAAAAAAATGTTAGTGTTATTTTCACTATTGTCTAACATTTCATAGATCAACATTAATAAAGTCATTGTAAAAAAGGCAACCTTATAAATGATATGGCTTTCTTTTCGTTGCTTATTGCATTGGTGATTTGAACAAAGAAAACATCCCCATATTTCCTTCTTTCTCCATTTTACATCAAAACACTGTAATATTCCCTTAATCAGATGTTGTCGTGTGTTTTCATAAGTCCGAGGTTTTCTGTGGTACCTGAAAGCAACACATATATTCCCTCACTACCCAGCATGCATTTCGGCGTCGCCATTTTTCTTGTTGTGGTGCGGTGGGAGGTTTGTGTCACAGTTCAAGAAAACAAATCCGTTTTAATTCAGAATTTAACCTCTGTTTTTGTTAACTGCGGATTGTAATTTCACATAAGCGAGCGTCGAGAGCAAAGAGAGCAACATGGCGCAGTACAAAGGAGCTGCCAGTGAGGCTGGGAGAGCCATGCAGCTGATGAAGAAACGAGAGAAAGAGAGAGAACAGCTTGAACAGCTGAAACAGAAGATTGCAGAGGTTTGTAACGTTTTATCCAACACTATAACGTGTTCATTTATTAAATATTATAATTCAGCCCCATATCCTTCGTCTAAAACCTGTATGTGTAATAGTAACGTTAACGTTAAAGCCCTGAGGGCCAGCGACCTGCGGGGTCAGTGAAGGGGACACCGTTACAGTGTTTTAAAGTCCTATCTATGTTACACTTTAGTCAAGTTGAGTACTATACCAGAATGTTAACCTGTTTGTTATAAAGAGCCTATATGACATTACAGTACAGTCTCTTATCTGCACACTGTCACTCAAAATGCTTCACAGACATAGAAATGTAATTCACCTGTATGTCTGCCCTCTGCTGTGTGTGTTTTCTCACAGGACAACATGGTCAAGTCCAACATCGATAAGAAATTCTCAGCTCACTATGATGCTGTAGAGGCAGAGCTGAAGTCCAGCACAGTCGGTGAGGATCTTTGTTCTTACACATGAACCCCTCCTGTAACACCACAACCTGTCACCTGTCTGGACCAGCTGAGAATGTGATCCAAAGCATCACAGCTGAGCTGACATGCAGGGTTATCAAAAGATTTAGTAAAAATATAGACGACAATATCCCTGTGATTTTTGTTTACCTTGTTTGTGTTTATGTCTTGATCAGGTCTGGTGACACTGAACGATATGAAGGCCAAGCAGGAGGCGCTGGTGAAGGAGAGGGAGAAACAGCTGGCCAAGAAGGAGCAGTCCAAAGAGCTCCAGCTGTGAGTCATTACTGCCCCTCTGGCTAGGTGTCACACAGTAGCTTTGGTTGGTGATAAAGAGCACATGGCTCTGCAGTGGTCAGTCACTCAACTTTTAGTTATGGCTGTTATAAACACTTTTCATGAAAGAAAAACATCCTCTGGTACACATTTCTCGCCACTGATTACTGCTCTCAGCAATTCTACATATATCAGACAAAACAGTGGCCCCAAAACAACTACAACACAAGTCTTACAACACAAATCTTGCAGAGAATGTGGACAGGGTTGTTGTTATGTGTACTTTTGCTCTCTGGGCTTTTTTTCATGGCTTAAGCTAGGGCCCTTTAAGGGAAGTCCTGATGCTGCTGCAGCATGCAGTATCTTAGACCGGTGGTTTCAAACCCTGATGTTGGCAACCCCCAAAATATTTCTGAGGCATCACCATAGTTAAGGAGAAGGAAAATTATCTGTTTATTGGACTTTCTCAAACTGTTGCTTTTTTTGTGAAGTATCACCTCTTCAGGCCTGTAAGACCATTTAAATGACACGATTCAAGAGGGAAAATGTATCTCAGTGGGAGCTCACAAACACATTCTAAGGAAGTCCAGAATCTGTGATGAATGATCACAAGCATTCAATTTAAAGGGATACTTCTGTAATTGTCAATCTGGACCCTGTTTTCCTATGTTTTTTGTGTCTAAGGGACAACAAACAACAATTTTTGAAATTGCTCCAACATTAAGAGAGAGAGAGAGACCGCTGTAGCCACAACAGCAAATCACGCTGCAGTGTAATCCCTACAGGCGATTGTACACCCTCAGTTTACATCCATTAAAAGTGCTTGCCACTAACAGGCTCCAGTTGTCATTGTGAGTTTCTTATGACATTATGGAAATGACCCTGCTTTCTTCACTTTTGCCGTTCTGTTTGTCATTATGTATCATCAAGTCTCGCAGTTTTGTGTGGAGAAGCTTGACTAGCCTACACGCAGCTCTGACCTCAGCCACATCCAGGAACTTTGGGGCCTACTGGTGCACCAACTGTGAGCCAAGCCTTATCACTTACCCAGCATCGGTGCTGGACCTTGCTAATGCACTTGTGGCTGAATGAAAGCAGCCAACATGCAGCAGGAAGCCTGTAACAGCAGCAGATTAAGGGTTGGAGTAGACTCGATCAAACTTTTCGTTATGTCACAAGTTATTATCATGTCCCCAAAAGTGCAGAAGTAGGACCTTGTTCAACCAAACCTCTTGGGATTACAAACATGCATAAAACTCACCAAACTTTTTTGGAAAATGTTTGTTATCAACAAAAACAAGACAAACAATACTGTAGAATAACAGAATCCTCAAAATGTTATGCCTGTCTATCTCATGGATACCATGTAATTTAGATTAACATTATCACCCCCGAACACGGCTGAGCTTCAAATATTCGCTGTCGGTTACTACTGGAGGACCACCCTAACTGTCGGACAGTCTCTCTCTGAAGATGTTGATAGTGCTGCACTTGATTGATTACATGAAATGTGATGGAAATAATTGTGTCAACAATGTCAAAAGAGAGCTATAAACAGGTGTGAAACAAGCTGCTTCAAACTGAAGCAGCTTGTTTCATGGCCTATTAAGTGATTTCTACTAATAGTTCTTCTTGTGTAAATAACCCGATGTGTGACTGAGAAGGAGACTGAATTAATCCCATGACCTTTATTTGCATCTTCTTCTCTTTCCATGTTGCCTGAGACTTCATAATTGTAACCTTACGAAGTAGATGGTGTTGTCAGTTTCTGATTTGTCATAGGCAGTTCTCAATTTTCAAAACACAAGTTTTCTTCAACTGCACTGAAGCAAAACAATGGGCCATACAGAAAGCTTTGTGGCTAAAGCTCTCCATTTTTCTATTTTCCCGATACATGAGACAAAATGGCAGACTGTCAGCTGGCTGATTTTCCATCTGTGATTTATAGTTTCAACCAATTGTTGACAGTTATTGTGTATGCTTAAAAACAAACTTCATCCCCTGTAGCTGGAACAGGATTGATTAATGTTCTGGAGTGTGTGGAAACAATCATATCCACAAAAGGAAACAAGCTTTGTCCAAAGGGTTTGTACTTGTAGACCTGTTGTGAATTAAAACTCTAGGTGCTGTCCAACCCGACCTGTCACAACCAGCGTAACAGGGTAAAGATGACAGACGCAGCTTGCCGCCAGATGCAAACAGTTAAATCAAAATTGCTGTTCTTCTGGCACTTACTCAATTTGACTACTAACAACACAGCTGCAAATTTAAGAACCTGTGTTCTGTATATTGAAAACACATTTTAAATAAAGCACAAAGAACCACTGATGATTATGTGGCCATCACTCCCGTCTGTGGGATGGCAATCTTTTGATTTTGTTTCTGCATTATTTATGCTTCTCCGTTTCCAGTAAACTTGAGAAGCAGAAAGAGAAGAAAAGAAAGGAGGAGCAGAAGAGGAAAATAGCCAGTTTATCATTCAACCCAGAGGACGAAGGAGAAGAGGATGAGGAGAATGAAGAGGAAGAGGATTGTAAGTATTGTGTGTGTAAAGCACAATGTAAAAAGAAAACACAGATGATTAGTTATAGCAGTATACTGTGCGTCCTCTGGCATTTGTTTGTCATCTGTTAAATCCATCAGTCTGATTTGTTCAAAGTCATAGCTTCAGTAGTAAGTTTAAGGTAAAGTTTGATTATATTGTTGCTTATTTATTGTGTGATGCTTTAAGCAGTACTAATGACCCTATTAGGCCCCAGTCACAGAAAGCATTATGCAGGTTGCAAAACACGAGGCTTGCCACACTTCCTTCATTTAAAAAACTGAATGGCACTAGTGAGGGGAAAAAAACACTTGCTGTGCCTTTTTACTGTTGCCAGGCAACCACAGACTCACCTCCTTATTCTAACCTTCCTGTGTAATCAATCGACCGTTTATTTATTGTAGTTATTTGACAGTAATCAGTATCTAGTTCCTAAAATGGACAGGCAGAGGGTACTTGCTGTAGCTGTCTGGTTGAGGGTGAGAGGCTGTCAGCAAGTACAGTCAGGTCCATAAATATTTGGACATTAACACAATTTTCAGCATTCCAGCTCTGTACAACACCACAATGGATTTGAAATGAAACAATCAAGATGTGCTTTAAGTGCAGACTCTGAGCTTTAATTTGAGGGTATTTACATCCAAATCAGGTGAACGGTGTAGGAATTACAACACATTTTATATGTGCCTTCCACCTTTTTAAGGGACCAAAAGTAATTGGACAATTGGCTACTCAGCTGTTCCATGGCCAGGTGTGTGTTATTCCCTCGTTATTTCACTTACAAGGAGCAGATAAAAGGCCTAGAGTTCATTTCAAGTGTGGTATATTCATTTGGAATCTGGTGAGGTCATCTCTCAATATGAAGTCCAAAGAGCCGTCACTATCAGTGAAGCAAGCCATCATTAGGCTGAAAAATCAAAACAAACCCATCAGAGAGATAGCAAAAACATTAGGTGTGGCCAAATCAACTGTTTGGTACATTCTTAAAAAGAGAGAACGCACTGGTGAGCTCAGCAACACCAAAAGACCTGGAAGACCACGGAAAACAAGTGTGGTGGATGACAGACGAATCCTTTCCCTCGTCAAGAAAAACCCCTTCACAACAGTTGGCCAGATCAAGAAAACTCTCCAGGAGGTGGGTGTATCTGTGTCCAAGTCAACAATTAAGAGACGACTTCACCAGTGGAAATACAGAGGTTTCACCACAAGGTGTAAACCATTGGTGAGCCTCAAAAACAGGAAGGCCAGATTAGAGTTTGCCAAGAAACATATAAAAGAGCCTGTACAGTTCTGGAACAACTTATGGACAGATGAGACAAAGATCAACTTGTACCAGAATGATGGAAAGAGAAAAGTATGGAGAAGGGAAGGAACTGCTCAAGATCCAAAGCATACCACCCCATCAGTGAAGCATGGTGGTGGTAGTGTAATGGCGTGGGCATGTATGGCTGCCAGTGGAACTGGATCTCTTAAATTTATTGATGATGTGACTGCTGACAAGAGCAGCAGAATGAATTCTGAAGTGTTTCGGGCAATATTATCTGCTCATATTCAGCCAAATGCTTCAAAACTCATTGGACGATGCTTCACAATGCAGATGGACAATGGCCCGAAGCATACTGCGAAAGCAACCAAAGAGTTTTTAAAGGCAAAGAAGTGGAATGTTCTGCAATGGCCAAGTCAATCACCTGACCTGAATCCGATTGAACATGCATTTCACTTTCTGAAGACAAAACTGAAAGGAAAATGCCCAAAGAACAAGCAGGAACTGAAGACCGCTGCAGCAGAGGCCTGGCAGAGCATCACCAGAGACGAAACCCAGCGTCTGGTGATGTCCATGGGTTCGAGACTTCAGGCTGTCATTGACTGCAAAGGATTTGCAACAAAGTATTAAAAAGTGACAATTTGATTTATGATTATGTTAGTTTGTCCAATTACTTTTGGTCCCTTAAAAAGGTGGAAGGCACATATAAAATGTGTTGTAATTCCTACACCGTTCACCTGATTTGGATGTAAATATCCTCAAATTAAAGCTCAGAATCTGCACTTAAAGCACATCTTGATTGTTTCATTTCAAATCCATTGTGGTGTTGTACAGAGCTGGAATGCTGAAAATTGTGTCAATGTCCAAATATTTATGGACCTGACTGTAGTTTGTAGGGCACAGGGAAACACAGGGATCTGTGTGGGTACATGAGACCCTAAAAAAGAGGGTGGATCACAGGGAGTACCACCAGTTGGTCCAGGAGCTTCGCCTCCATTTCCAGGCATATTTTAGGATGCCTCAGGGGCAGTTTGACAACCTGCTGTCAGCAGGCCCTATAGCTCCGGGTATTCAGCAACCGCTACCATTAGTTTCTCCTCCAATGTTTACCTTCTGTAAATTTGTTGTCTTGACCACCACTAAGGGCCCGCCTCTCAAAGCATCAGATTGGACAGTGTGGGGAGAAAAAAAAGACAAAAAAAGAGATGATGTGGGGCGTTTTTCTGCTCTGAGTTGAAGTTCAACACGAGGAATTCAAAGCACTCCGGTAAAAACAGCATACGCTTAGAGCGCAGAAACGCGAGGTGCATCGCTGGAAAAAAAAATCTGAGCAAAAAGCTTTATTCTCATTATAAACAATTACAAAAAGACTCCCTCAGCTGCTTAAACACTCTGTGTGATCAGGGCCTTAAACTATACACTGTACAAT